CACGGGAGGTCGTCGGGGGCCGGGTTGGGGGACAGCTGGCGGCACGCGGGTGGCGGTGGCGGCGGCGGCGGCGGGGGCAGCAAGTTGGAGTAACCCGGCGGTAGCGCGGCCTGGGCCGCGTAGGGCACGTAGCAGGCGCGCAGCTGGCGGGCAGGGCCGCCATGCTCGAGGGCAGCATCTTGACCGGTGAAAACTCGTAGGGGTAGGAAGGGTCGGCAGGGGGTGTGAGCGGCAGCTCGTGCGCCGCCCCGAAAGACGGCTGCAGGTGCGTTTTCTGCGGTGTCAGCCCCAGGCTGGGGTGCGGGGGCGGTAGCGCGCCCGGCGAGTGCGCGGGCATGTCCGCGGTCCACGGGTGAAAGAGCCTGGAGGGCGATCCCAGCGCGGGGTCGTAGGACACCGGCAGGAAGTCCGGGGGGCGCCGCGGCGCCGGGCTGGCCTATACGGCTACAGGTGGCTGCTAGCAGCGCCAGGGGCGAGTGCTTGCCCAGGTCCGGGGAGGCGCAGGGGGTGCGGTCCTGCATAGGCGGCGGCAGGGGAGGGCGGAGAAGAGACAAAAGGTTAGCGCTCCAAGCGCGGTCTCCCGGCCGGCCCGCCACCCCCACGCCAGCTATTATACCGCCGCCCCTCCCCCGTCCGGCTGTCCCTCCCCCGTCACTGCACCCCACGCACGCACCCACCAGTCCTGGGAAAGTTTCCGTGCCTAAGCTACCTAAACGGGGAGCGCACGAGCGCTTCCTGTTAAACTACTTGGTGCAAAGAGTCGCCATCCAGCCTCAGAGGAAGCAGGCACAAAGTGGGAGGGGAGAGAGATCCGACGGGCCGCTCCCGGCTCCGCCATCGGAAAGGGTCTAGAAACACCCATGGCCTGCCTGCCCATTCGCCTTCCCTCCCATCTTTTAAGCTCTCTGTTCCACGCTACTCTCGAGCACATCCGCCGGTCCCAGGAGGGCTCAGCGGGGTGACTTGCGGCCCGATTCTCAGCCAGATGCGCACCTCCAAATAACCCCCCGATCTGCGGGTCCCTCCCTAAAAGGCCACACTCTTGACACCAAGGTTAGGTTTGAAGTTGGTGTGGGCACCCCTAGGTCTGACTCCAGCGGCATCCACTGAGCGGGATTCTCTTTGAGAGTCAGGGTGCACAGAGTACCAGGAGAGATCTGGACACGACCCTTCCCACCTTTCCCGCGTCCCCTCTGAGCCCAGCCCTGACCTGGAGAAAGGCCTGCAGCGAGTCGTTCCGGAGGACGGCCACGGCGGCCATGGCTACGGCTTGCGGGCCGTTGGCTGCGAAGCAGGGCGCTGCCGAGGCATGGAGACCCGAAGGCGAGGACGAAGGGCCGCCTACAGTCCCTCCCCGGCGCCCGTTCTGCGCGCGGGGGCCCTCCCCGCCCTCGCCCCTCTCCGCACCCGGCTCGCTCGCCCCGCGCGCGGTCTGAGCGCTTCAGGATCACCTCCAAGAATTTGATAAGGACTTTGCTGGGCCGCCAGCCAGTCAGAGGGAAGATTTATGGCTTTGAAGTTTGCCGCTACCCAATCATCAAAGAATAGCGGCTCTTTCAGAAGCGAAAGCAAATCCTTTGAATCCACAAAGCTCCTATGGTGTGTTTGTTGGTCTGGATAAAAGAACTGATTATTAGGGGGGATGGGAAGGGAGGAGATAAAGGCGGGACAATTAATGAAGTAATCACTATGTGGGAAATGTATATACACAAATAATTGGATTTTCCTGATCAAAGGGGGCCTTGCCGCCTGGAGACCCGCGCTTGGGTTGCTTGAGACATTCGATCCCCTTTCCCCCCCCTACTCCCCTGCAATTAAAGATTTGCACCGAGGCAGCGCCCAAAGTGACAAAGTGTCTTTGTTATCTCCAGAGAAATCTGTCTTCGGCTTCCAGGCGCGGGATTTTGAGACGAAGATGAGGGTAAATCTCTCCACCCCCAGCCCCCGTACTTACACACCCCGCACCGGCAGCACACGCACCGGCCGGAGCACACCGAGGACTCAAGGGAATTCCTGGGGCTAGGCGTAGGCCTCCTTGCGCCCCGCCCGCCGCATGCCCCCCCTCCTTTGGCCCCACGCCTCGGCCGCCACGAAGCGGCGGGCAGCGC